CGTCCTTCTTCAACTTCAGATTCCCATCAAAAAAAAAAAAAAAAAAAAAACTGCAACATATATACACCCGAATTATTAATCACAAGCGACTATTACATGTCACGAAGATAGCATGCGCACGTCTAGTATGAAAAGCAGTGGTTCTTTTTCCCTTTCTCTCTCCGCCTTATGTTTTGTTTTTTATTTTATTTTTTGCCGGGTCAATATTCTCTTCCGTTTACTCCTAGACGACTATCAAAGGTCTTCTGACTCTCGCTTTTCTCCTCCACAAACATTAATAATCCTCTCAGAATCACATATCAAAACCACAACTTATTATCTCTCTCTCTCTCTCTCTCTCTCTGCCAACAATATCTGTGGAAAATGGAAGTGTCGTTTCTTAAACTCTCTAGTGTTGTGTTTGCTATTCTCTTAATAACGACATGGGCATGGAGAGTTCTGAACTGGGTTTGGTTGAGGCCAAAGAGGCTAGAAAACTGCCTAAGAAAACAGGGCCTTAAGGGCAATTCTTATCGGCTTTGGTCGGGAGACTTGAAAGAGAGCTCTTTGATGATAAAGGAAGCGAGTTCCAAACCCATCAATCTCTCTGAAGATATAACCGCTCGCATTTTCCCCTTCGGTCTTCACACCGTCAACAATTATGGTAATCCCCGTGAACTGTATGCGTTTATTTTTTCCTCTTTACTTTTTGTTTATCTCTGCGTTTCTCATCAATTAATTTTGTAGTTCCGTATGTGTTTTTACACGCAAGCAGGATGAAAAAATCGACATTTTTAACGAAATTTTCATATTTTAAAAGTAACGGTGTGGAAATGGTGTGTATAGTATTTTTTTTCCCAGAATATTATGAAATTTCTATAAAAGTTTCCTTAAATATTGATATTTTTACATAAATATTTATTTATGAGAAAAATGTTGTGTTAAATGACGGACATCTTAATAATTTTACAAAAATTTCTATAACTTTATATATACTCTTTCAGTTTACTTTTCAAAAATTGAAAGTTATGTTCCTCTTACTTTTTTGTTTTTATCTAAACTTAGCCTTTTTTTTAGTTTATATTTAATTTGTGAACATGTACTTAATATTTATAATATTATAATCACATTTTATTATGTATATTTATTAAATAATTCGTGTTTTAATTGAGAGTCATCTAACTAAGGTATTATATCTATTTTATGGTTCTAAAAGTCTCACTTGAACATAAAATATATTGACATGAATTTTTATTTTTTTACGTTAATTTTTACCGATATCAATATTTTTATAAAATTTAAATGCTGATATTTCCGTGTATATATATATATATATATCGATTATTGAAATCGATAGAGAAATGCTACCAAACGGGGACAAATCCGCAACAGACGGCCATGTGGGTCCACCAGCATTTTCATATTGATATACAATGACAAGTGTCACCCATACATGCGTATGGCCTTCAGGACATTTGTGGTTGTGCTAACTACAGTATTGTATCACTAAAGAAAGGCGGACTAGACGAAAAAATTAGGCGGACCAAACGAGATATGTGTATAACGTACGTAAGTGAAAATGAATGGTAAAACTTTGTTAGAGTCTATTATATATGTGTATATAATTTAATATTATAATATGATCATTCATCTTATATTCGAGAAGACATATACTTATAAAAGATATTCCTTATCGCACAAGTATGTCATATATCTCTCCGGTACTATCTACTAATCCACTAACACAACTAAAAAATGCTAGCATGTTGTGACATGCCAGGACTGGTGTACATGCAAATTATTATGAAATTTACGTGGATTTCATGCGATTTCCTATCATGCCCTGAGCAGTATTTAATTTTTCACATTCTATATCGGTTCTTATTATGGGTTATTTACATTAATTTATGCCCCCTATTTTGCTTTTTGTCAAAATGTATATCATGTATTTTATCCGTCTACATTTTTATAGTATCATATTACATTACTTAATACCGAAATCCATACCTATTATTGGTTATCACTGGATTTTGAAGTAAAAAACATCCAAAATACTTTTTCAAAAGCATTAAAAAAGAAATGAAAATTATAAAATAAAATAAAAAATAACAAAAAATACAACCCAAAATTCATTCTGTCCATTGCCCATATTTAGAATTTCTTTATTAGTTTTTCTTTCGTTAAGCATTTTTTATGTCAAGACTAAAGTGTTGACCACTAGGACAATACTAGAATTTGCCTTCTCTTAATTACGCAAATAATTTTCGAAGTCTCAAGTTGGTTTCTTGATAAATAAGTAATACAATTCATCATTATAAATAATAAGAGGGCTATTTACCGTTTACACACTGCTTTTTGTTTTTAGTCAGAAAAAAAGGAAATTTTTTTGGTGTTTTCTGTACTTTTAGAAACACCAATATTACTTGCTTAGCAGTCATTGGATCTGCATTACTTTTTTAATCTGATTTGACTTTTAATTAGATTTAATATAGATCTAACGGTTAATAAGCAGAGAACACAGTGTTTCTAAAAAAGAGAAAACACTTGAGAAACTCTTAAAAAAATGAGAATTTCTCTGGTGTTTTTTTTTTTTTTAGAACACCGGTATTCTCTACTTATTAGCCGTCGGATCTATATTACTTTTTTAATTTGATTTAACTTTTGACAAGATTTAACATAAATCTGATGGTTGATAAGTAGAGAAACTGATATTCCTAAAAATGAAGAAACACCACATAAACTAAAAAAAAACCATCATGCATTAGAGGTACAGTTGGTTTGTGCTCTTCTAGCTTATTTAGTGGGTGGTTTTGCCCCCGGATCGCAATTTCAACCGTCCTATCTCATGATCATTTATGAAAAAATTATCGTATAGTCGTAAAAAAAAAAAAAAAAAAAAAAAAAACTGAAAATAGATTGTATGTTGCAGTCGTTTAAATTGTATGAATTTGACTATGGATACTTGAACTATTTGAGTTTTCATTTTTGCCCAAAAAAAAAAAAAAAAAACAGGAAAAGATTCTTTTATGTGGATTGGTCCCACGCCAAGGGTGAGCATCACGAACCCGGAATATATAAAGGATATCTTCAACAAACTTGGTGATTTCCCAAAGCCCCAAAGTATCCCACTCGTGAAACTGCTAGCCACCGGTGTTGCCACATACGAGGGTGAAAAGTGGACAAGACATCGGAAAATTATCAACCCAGCATTTCACATGGAGAAATTAAAGGTGCTATTATATACTACGTTTTTTTTTTCTTTGCTGAAAAGATATTTAGTATACTTAAACAAAAAAAAAAAAAAAAAAAAAAAAACTTGCATTTAAAGATCTTGATTTTTTTTTTTTTTGGTTTTTTTTTTTTTTTTTTTTTTTTGTTTTTTGTTTTTTTTTACCAACAACTATTGGTGACATGTGATGTGTTTCAGCAATTTCTGTCATAAATTTGAAGAAAAATTAACATAAAGAGCATTGAGCAAAAAAAAAAAAAAATGTAGAGTTCAAGGGGCTATAGATATAGGTTGCGTTTGATATTGCTTTTCGTGCTTAAAATCAGCTTATGCTTGTAGTAAAAATTGATTTTAGTATTTAGTAAATCTCTTTAAAAGTGTTTTTTTGAAGAATTTTTAAAAAATCTACAGCCAAAATTAGAAAAAGCTCAAAGACAACTTTAACTTTTAAATTGTGCGGGAATCAATATAGTACAATTAATAAAACTTTCATAATACTCATAATACTCCTAATGAAATTTAAAATTTACAATCTTCCCAATCTAAAATTCAAACTCGTAATATAATATAATATAATATAATAATATAATGTAATTGTAATATTGTAATAAATAATATCATAATTATATTAATAACTCTAATATTATAAAAAAATTATTATCTATTATAGTGTATTACACAGGTTATGGTTATATAATATATTAATTATAATATATAATATAATATAATATAATATAATATAGTTGTAATTTTTAATTATATTACAACTGCAATATAATTATTATTTCTTATGTAATATTATAATATGTTTTATAATATTGTAATTATATTAAAAACACAGAAACGCATGCACATATACATGATTCAATGCAATATTCACATTTTATTTGGTTTTCCTGTATATAGCGTTTAGTACCGGCATTTTATCTAAGCTGCAGTGAGATGTTGAATAAATGGGAGAGGCTGTTAAACAGTGAGGGAAGCTGCGAGTTAGATGTGTGGTCTTATCTTCAAAATATGACTGGTGATGTAATTTCTCGAACAGCATTTGGGAGTAGTTATGAAGAAGGCAGAAGAATATTTCAGCTCCAGAAAGAGCAAGGGGAACTTGCTATCAAATCCCTACAAACTGTTTACATTCCAGGATGGAGGTAAGTTTAAATTATTAATTTTATAATGGCTATATTATATTTTTCTTTATAGCATATTTATAAATAGAAAATGTCTCCAATCAGGTCCTCGTAAAATTTTTCTGTAACATCATCAATACGTTCATGTAATACTCAATTTGTTTTGTTATAGCAGCACTTAATAAATATAGTCCATCAATGGTAGATTTGAGTGTTATACTTAATCATATTGAGTGTTACGTACACGAACCTAGAAATGATATTGCAATGGTAAACGAAACTGGATTTGGTCAGGGTGCCATATTTGAGACTATATATAAATATATATTTATGCATGCACACACACACTATATAGATATAAAGTAAATGGAGAAAGGTAACTTATATTAGTGACAGACCTAGGAATTGAATTTAGTGGGGGCACACGTTAAGACATTTTCCATTAAAATAACTTACAACATTCTATGAAATTATTAAATTGCATATTTTACAGGACAATAATTTATCATTGCAAACTTGCACTAGCAAATAAACTTGTAAGAAAGCTTGCAAATTCAATGCCCTAGGCATGTGCACCAGTACACATTTTGACTTTAGTGGGAGGAAAATAGCCAAAATGGTTTGTCACTATTGTGTTACTGTGCATGGAGGCTCGTGAAGAGTGAGGACTCGTGTAATGGAGAAAAGAAAAGCAACATGAGAGAGAAGAAAAACAAATATAAAATAAAAGAGTCAGGAATGAAAAACTAAAAGGAATACCAAACGTCAGTGAAAAAGAGTGGCGAAACTTAGTTTGAGGGGAAAAAAGAAAAAATAGTGACAGTAAGTAGTATGTAATAGGACAAAATGATGTTGTATAAAACCAAAATGACATTTAAAATAGGAACAAGTATACTGATTGCTAAAATTACTAGGGGCATACTTATATAATACATAAAAATCAGTATACATATAATTCTTTTTAATTTTCTCAAGGGGGCACATGCCCCCACTGGCCCCCCTGCATCCGTCCTTGACTATTGTCGGAGAAGCTCGGCACATCCCACCTTCGTTCGCACCTACAAAGCAATTTTTCCTATATCAAACCATATATATTTGTGTGTGTGTGTTTGTTTAACACGTTCTTGGACATAAAATGTTTTAAGTTATAACTGACTGGTATGTGTATGCAGATTTGTACCAACTAAGTTGAATAGGAGGATGAAAAAAATCTACAACGAAATAGAAGCTTTAGTGAAGAATATAATTCATAAAAGAGAGGGAGCAATGAGAGCAGGTGAAGCACCAAATGATGACTTGTTGGGGATACTTATGGAATCAAATCTTAAAGAAATTCAGGAACATGGGAACAACAAGAATATGGGAATTAGTATTAGAGATGTAATTGAGGAATGCAAGTTGTTTTACATAGCTGGGCAGGAGACCACCTCAACATTGTTGGTTTGGACAATGGTATTATTAAGTAGGTTTCCCAGTTGGCAAGATCGTGCAAGAGAAGAGGTTTTGCAAATCTTTGGTAATAACAAACCAGGTTTTGATGGGCTAACGCAGTTAAAAGTCGTAAGTTTTTTTGTTTGCTACGACTAAATTGTCCATCTACCTTTTGTTCTTTAATTGATTTTGCAGCTCAAGCATGTTGATTAAAAAAAAAAAACACTTATAAAATATAATGTTTACTTAATCCTTGCATATATTAATGCCCTACAGCTAACTAAGATCATTGTGTTAGACTATTTTTAATCTGAATGCTAATGTCAAAGTTATATTTCACATGCATTAAAACTGTGAAAGTGACGTATTAATTCGATGTGTTATTTTAATTTATACTCTAGTGCATAATGCTATTTCAATAGTTAGATTTATTATTTTTCATAAACTCTTAAAGTTAAAATAATTTTAAAAGTCAACCTTATAACAACTAAATGAATGAAAGCCATATACTTAGTGGAAAATTTAGTACCAAGAATAGCATTGTATTAGAGAATAATTTTCCTACTTAAAATGTTAAAATTTACCCTTAACACATTAATTTGACATTGCACCGGTGAATATATATAGATTTGCCGGTCCATTTATAATCTTCATAAATCATTTAACTCAACTTTCGTTTTTCCTATTTTTCTTTGTTTTTTGTTTGATAAAAATTTCACATACATACAGGTACTTAAATTTTTTTTTTTTAACTGAGTTTACGAGTAACAAATAAATGCATGTTCATATAAGAATACAAATTCCGCTTGGTTTATTTTGCTTCACTAGAAGACCATATAAATATCATGCAGTACAAAAATTATTTTTATATTCAATTCATTATCTTTCGGACATTGTTGCATGCAGGTTACCATGATTTTCTATGAAGTTCTAAGGTTATACCCACCTTTAATTTTATTTACCCGGAAAGTTGAAAAGAAAACACAGCTGGGAAACTTGTCATTACCAGCTGGAGTAGAAGTGTCCATTCCCACCATTCTTGTTCACCGTGACACTGAGCTTTGGGGAGAAGATGCAAAGGACTTTAAACCCGAGAGATTCGCAGAAGGCATGTCGAAGGTGACGAAGGGCCAAGTTTCGTTCTTTCCCTTCGGTTGGGGGCCTCGGATTTGCGTTGGTCAAAACTTTGCCATGGTGGAAGCAAAAATGGCGTTGGCTTTGATTCTACAACGCTTCACGTTTGAGCTTTCACCTTCCTATGCTCATGCTCCTTTAACTATTTTAACTCTCCAACCACAATATGGTGCTCACATAATTTTACATAAACGCTAGCTGAGATATAATCTTACATGCTTTTGTGGAGTCATCGTTGAACAATAATGTTTGAAATATGATACATATAGATGTTACGTCCATTGTATGAATATTTACGCTTTATGTTATTTTTATTTTCTTGTAATTTATATATTAATTTAATGACTTCACTACAACAAATATCCCTTTTTACAGCTGTGAAAAAACATTGTGAAATTATATCTATAGTGTTTTGTAGAGCACTAAGTCAGTAGGCGTTATTAAAGTTATTAATTTCGTAGCGTTTTATAATCGCTACTTCAGACGCTATAGTAAATTATATATATATATATATATATTATAATTTGTAATTGTTTCGTTTTGGTGATACAACATGTAATATCAAATTTAACAACACCGGATAAATGAAACGTCCAAAATAAAACATTCAATACAATTTATATATCGTCAACTCTATCACTATTTTCAAGTTAGCAACTGTGTACATAATATAAAGCATCATACCAATAGTTAATCCACAACACAGGCATCATAAATCTAAAAACCAACAAATTAGCTAGTAGAGTATCAACGCGTTCCAAAATATCTAGCTAAACAAAGTGCCCTAACAAATTGATCCATCGTCAAAAAATGCTCCAACTCTGAAGAGAATTGATGCTTCAGACAGCTCTGATGACTCAGATAGCTCCAAGAGCATGAATAAATGATAACCAACCAGGCGTGTTGGAGGTATAATGAATGTTGATGGCCCTATCTTCGCGGAGGCCGTTGGAGGAGAGTGGCATGGCTGTAAAAGACCCATTTTCTAAGCAACTCACAGCTTTCCTATCTAGCTTAGACTTTGGAGAGCCTTCATCCCAAAGTACTGAAGACATTGTTCAAGTTAGCGAGAAAGGAGAGAGTTTTTAGGCAACTAGTGAAAGGTAAGAACGTCAAATCCATAGCACAAATAGATCAACATCTCACAAGTTAGCGAGAAAGGAGAGAGTTTTTAGGCAACTAGTGAAAGGTAAGAACGTCAAATCCATAAGCACAAATAGATCAACATCTCACAAACAAGATAGACAAACGCAGGTTAGGATGATAAACATTAGGCAAACTATAAGCATCATTTCATTGAACATCATAGATATAGATTTACCAAGACAAACAAGAATTATTTAAAGACAAACCTGAAGCCTTGTCTTGAAGACCAAAGTGGATTTGTAGAAATAGGCATTCCGAAAATAAAGATAACAAAAAGTGCAGACAATCATCATTTGCAAAAGAGAACAGGCCATGTATGCAGCAATGCAAAATGAACTTTACAAGCACAAAAGAGATATTTACACACCGTGGTAGGCAGTGTAGTGCCAAAGAGCTCAGACACCGATTCAAGGGGTCGACATCTCCCCAAACTAGAGGCCCAACCTCATCATTCCCAAGCTGTTCTCCTTGCAAGTATACAAGATTTGGCTTATATGATTCAAGGAGTTTAGAGAACTCCTCTTTGCTTGGGCTGGTCAGAGTTTGAACCTGCATTATAAGCAGCAACTAACTTAATGCAATATCCCAAACAAACTGATGTGAATACAAGATTTTCATTAACCTTCTAATCTAAGAACAACTATATATCACAATATTATATATATATATATATATATGTATGTATATATATTCAAATGCAATAAAAAGAATCATAAGAAACTGAAATTTTCACCTCCAAACGGCCTAAAGAGACCAACTCCGGGAAGGGATACAGCGGCTGATTCTCTGGCACATCCTTTTTACATTTGGATTCAGAGACTTTCCCACAAGTGACTACAAGAAGACTACAAGTTTGTTTTGAAGAACCCTGAGAATGAAACATTAAAAATTTTTTTTTCCTTCTTCCCAATGGCCAGATAGCAAAAAACTTCCTTTAGTTATGGGAAGCCCCCAATGTCCTCAGAGAAGAACTATAATTGGAAAAACCATGACACCCAACTAGATTACAACATCAATTTCCCCAACAAAGAATCCTTGCAAAATCACAAATTTTCACTGCCCAGACGAAGAAATTAGAGAAGAACTATAAGCTTACATGTGTTGGGAAGATGGCTCGGGATATTAGGAGCAACCTATTCACACTGTTTGTAAAACCGTTCAAGGATGTCCCCAATCTTTGAACTCCTAAAGAAAGTGGTTAGAAACTACCCTTTAATCACTTCGGAGCAATGGAGAAAGTTTGTTGAGTACATACTTAGTCAGGTTCGACAAGCCGTTTCTCAAGAAACCTCTAAGAGAAGAGCATCATACAAATAACCGCATGGAAATGCTCATGGTGGATATAGAAAAGCAGAGGAAGATTATGTAAGTTGCAAATTACTTTTTTTTGTAGTAATATTATTTATTGTTTGTTTGTGTTACAATCTTTAATTGACTTTATAATTGAATATAGATGCGAATAAACAACACTACTGTAAAGTCCAATCGAGCCATTTTATGGCAATTCAAATGTAAAAAATCTAATTGAACTTACAAATTTCTGAAATGTAAAGAAATAGGCAAATTAATGGTGAGTTATTCATTTTCTTTTTAATATTTGATGGATCTCTCATATGATTTTTGTAGATGATGATAATTTTTTTGTTTTTTATTTTGTAGGATCAATATGTCAAAGAAGAGCCTAAAAAAAGTTTCAATCTCTGGGGACATATGATGTGTTGACAATATGTGACGTCCGCCTTTTTCTTTAACGGATTAATGAGGAATTTGATGGTCTCGTTTGATGATAATTGGATTTTATGATATTTAAATTAAGTAAACTAACCTTTCTATCTAGTTATGTTGTAGGTGATGGCCACATGGAATCAATGTGCTCGAAGTGTTCATGTTAAAATTATATGTTAAAATAGAATTTAACTTATGTCCGTACAATTTGTGATACGATTATGACATATTATGTTGTTTAAATTATGTCGGATTTTTAAGTGCCCAAAATTATTATTAATTCTATAAGTCTCATAATTTTATTTCTGTGAGTTATTTGTTATTATTGTCCTTGAGTTCTTTGTTTATTTAATTATTTATTTAATATATATGTATAATGATTTTTATTTATATATAATTTTATATATAATATAATATTATAATACATATATTATAATACTATTTATATATATTATACTATATACTATGGAAGGCACCGGTTTATTGTTTTTTGAATAGTGCTCGTGTTTTTTTTACCTCAATTTTGAGAAATTTCTGTGTGGGTTCCCTGACTTTTGTTTTTACTGTTTTGCCCTTGATTTCTTATTTCTTCATTGTTTTTTGTTTGGGCGCTTTCGTCTTTTTATTTTTTCTTGGCGCTGCTTTTTCGCCGAGAAAGAGAGAGCTCTACATAGGAAAGAGAGAGAGGAAGTGGGGAGTGGTGGTCCGCTTGGGAAAAGAGAGAGAACGCTGCCTAGGAAAGAGAGAAAGAAAGAGAATGAGTGGTGGGACCCGCTTGAGAAAAAAGAGAGAGAAAGGGAGAGAGAGAAAATGAACTATCTAAAGATCCGTCCAGTTCGCTAATTGAAGTTTTTAATTCGAGTTGAGATGTGATGTTGTGTGATAACTTTTTATTGTAGTAAAAAAGTTAAATGTGACTGTTTCTTAGAGTTTTTTTACTGTAACAAAACTCGAATTCTAAACTCGAATCAACGAAATGAACGGGACCTAATCCTTTTCATCCGACGATAAAAAACCGGTTTTATTCACTAATTATTATTATTGTTTATATTTACTTGGTAGTCTAAATTTGTCAATTCTAACATGGTTTCATACGAAATTTTCAATACTGTTTAAATAAAAATGGTATAAATGATTTAGACTTAGGGGTTCTATATATATGTAAAGCATTCTAAAGCCCCATTTTAAAGTCTCGCTTTCTCTTATTCTCGATGACTATTCTGCTTCTCTCTCCTATTAATAGACATTTATGTCCTACCACCATCATTTAAAGAATTTTAAAGTGAGACTCCATCGCTCTCACCATCCTCTCTTTCACGCCACTTTACAGGAATTCTTTCGGGAATTTTTACGTTCGAGCCATCGTATTTGTTTAGGGAATTCCAAAGGATTCAAGGTAAGAATTTTATATTTTAATGATAGAAAACATTCATAAATTATATGTGATATTCGTAGAATAGTATTAAGGAGAATTCTAAGGTTTGGTTTTGGTCGATGAATTTTAATTATATGTTATAAACATGTTTTTAATGAATTTAAATTTTGAATATGTTTAATTCTATGATATTAACATTATGTAAAAATTTTAGGGTTTTATGGATTACCAATAATTTAATAATGAATTTCGATTCAAGGTTGGATAAGGTCTCTAGAATCCGTAAATCATGTGATCTCCAATTTTCAGAAGGTGTAGAGGATTGATGTGATTTTGTTTTACTACAATTTTTAGATATGTCATGTATTTATACTGTATAATTGTCTAATAAGTTTTACAGAATTTTACTAAGCACATTTTAATTATTATGGATTTTAGATTAGAGACTGTTCACTGGTTTATGCATGCTGACAGATTTTGTAACATGTATTGTAAAATCTGTTTTATATGCTAAATGAGACTATTTTATTCTATAAAAATTTTCAGATCATTAGGAATATGTTGATCAGGAGTATACGGAATTTCAGCTTCTGATCATATCTATGTTTTCAATTAAAATTCGTTGACCATGATTTGCTTTGCGAACTTTGGTGTCTGGCTGATTTAATTGACATAATTTAGAAATTAGAAAATCATCGTTCCCTGTAGTTTTTAATTGAGATAAAATTTATGCTTATGCTATTATATTTAATTTCACGCTCTCAAAGTTTTAACCAGAAAGCATTCATGTAAATTGAATTATAATTCTCTAAGTGAGTAGGGGTCAAAGTTTTCTGATTTATGAATCATGATTTCATGTGAATAAATGTGGTGCTATGATGATTGTATAATTATGTAATGATGATATGAGATGAGTTACGCTATGATTCAATGTCTCAATGATATGAATATTGATTTCTAAAGTTGTTATGGAATGATTTGACATTAACACCGAAGAGGAAGAGCACGTTGTGAATTGAGGGCATCCGTCACCTTATACAACAAAATGGTTAAGTAAGCTAGCGAA